CCAGCGATGGACAATACTTTGATTAATCTGTTCATTCATTTTGTTCTGAAATAAATGCATTTTTGACCACAAAAAAACGGACCGAACTAATATGTACTCCCAATAGAAATTTAAATAATATTATGTTTTAACGTCTTTGGATTTGTTTTCTGAAAGTATGTATGTGAAATATTTCATATATGAACATATTTGCTTTTATATAATTATATCCATATAGGAAAACACGTGAATTATTTTCACTTGGCCTAACTATCTGATGTCATGTTTTTTGTAAAAAAATAGAAGTTTAAATAACAAGATTTCTTATTATAACATTTTTTAATGTGTTATTTTACAAATAAAATATTTTTTATAGAAACATTAATTTTTGTATAATTCCACTCGTGCAGGCAAGCGCGTGAACTTGGCGTCTTTTTTCCCCCTTTTTTTTTAAAGTAGGCTTTTTTTTTAAAGTAGGCTTGTTTAAATATCACATCTTTTTCCATAAATGATTGAATATCTATTAAACACACACAAATTTGACATAAGTTTCATAAATAATTATAATTTTACAAGACTTACGTATCAATTTAACAAGAGATGTTACTGTATTTTTTCTATAGACGTTTGGCTTATCCGTACGATGCGAGCGCTCAGTTGCTTCGAAACGTCGAGTGAGGGCGAGAATATCATTCTCTTCTTCTCTCTTTCACTCGCTATTTTGAGAGACGGCGCGTCAGCGAGTGAGAGCAAGAAGGAGAAGATGATATTCTCCCTCTTACTTGCGTGACTCTTGTTTTGTTTTGTACGAGATATGCGTCTCTTGACACCAACATGTGTACACGACCTAACGATGTGGTCCATGCCTCGCTGACTGCGCCGCTGAGTGGCGCCTTTGACGGAGAAAGGCTGAGATGGACATTAGTTAAGCGTTTTATAATCGTAAAATTTTGCCATTTCGGATTTTCCACTAAAATATCTCCTCTCAAGAACTATAAAAGACAAATATAAAAATAACTTTATTAAGCTAGTCGACCCCAAGAAATCGATAGAGCCTATGCAGAAATTCGTACAATTAGCTCTTATAGCCGAATGAAAAATCTTGCCTGCGCTGAACTAGTTATGTGCGGCCGGTCTCACGCCATTCCTCGCTTCGCGCATTCACTTGGCGCGAGACGCGGTAGCGTCTCTTGATGGTTACCGTTACGAAAAAGTACGTTAAAATGCATAAAAATATTTTAATAAAATAAATAAAAGTGAAATTTTCTGTAATTCTGTAATATTCTCTTAAAGAGTATGGCCACAGTAGCGGGCCTAAAAATATCAATAAATTTAACAATTCTTTTAGTATAAAAAAATAATTTAATATAAAATCAAATTGAAGCATTGTTTACGATATATTTTAAAGTACTTAAAAAATTCTTTTTGTGTATTTTTCGATCCGAAGTGGCGACGCTACCGCTGACGGGAATACGTTTTTTTTTTTTTGGAAGTTTTGGCGCCGGGCCTGAATCTAGCGTCTACATATTTTGACCTAGGACAAAAAAATTTATTCTTTTTAATCTACATTAAAATGCCTAGAGAATTAGGTAGAGTCTTTTGATATTAGAAATATTGATTTTTTCAAAAATGGCAAGCATTTAAATTCACAGTTGCATTTTTTGCTAAAAAATTTTGTAAAAAAACTGTTCAAAAAATAAGAAGTTTTTTACATATAGAAAAATCCCTACGTACTTCTCTGCGGAAAATATCTAACAACAAGTTGCTACTAAAATTTGAAGTAATTCGAACAAAAATTATTGAAGTTACATGAAGTTATATGCCAATTTGAAAAACATTGTTTTGAGAGAAACGCGTTTAAAGTTTTAAGTGCTGTTTTTTGACCTTAAACTTAAAAATTGTGACTTTAAACATTTTTTACCATTACTCCGCAATGCCAGCACCATAGAGCTATCCTTTCGTGACAAGATTTCCTGACATTTGTGACATTTTCTTCCTGTTTTTATTTTCTAGAGAATCTTGAGCTTGAACGCACCTCCTTCGCCGCGTCCGACAGCGAGCGCTTGGCTTGCGCTACGCGCAATTCATCGACTTCGACGCAAAAATTATAACAATTAGGGCTTATTGTGATGCCCAAAACTTTCATAACTTCTATGATGTTGTTCAGGGCACCATTAGAGACGCACACAGCAAAATCGATAGCTATATCCAAAATCTTTTTGCCGCTGAAACTGCTTTTCAGTGGCAGGCTTCATACAATTGAATTAAAATTTTCGTTGCTGTGCTTGCGGGTGTAACTCCCTGAAACAACTAAGCAGTTCATTTTTATTTATTTTGCGTTTCGATATGTTTGGTATTCGCTCTAACTTCGTTAAAAGTTTTTTTCGTTATAAATCGAATCGTAACTTATTTTTATGAAGATAAAGTACTGTTTAAACAAAAAAATCGTATTTTCGAAAATTCTACCGTAACCATACCTCTTATGTGAAACAATATTTTTGGCAAAAAAGAAGGTGGTCGGGAACTTTCCGCCGACAGTGTATATCCAAAATTTACTATACGCAACATACATATACATACAAACACACATTCATTGTACTTATTTGTTCATCTCTGTTAATTATTATAAATCTCTTTTTACAGGAAAGAGAGAGGAGAAGAATAAATAAAGCCGGTGGTTTAGTAACATTTAATGGCGTATGGAGGGTGGCTGGTATATTAGCTACTTCACGTGCTCTTGGAGATTATCCTTTAAAGGATAAAAAATTAGTGATAGCTGATCCAGATATCCTAACGTTTGATTTGAATGATCACAAACCTATGTTTATAATATTAGCATCCGATGGCTTATGGGATACATTTTCTAACGAAGAGGCTGTAGCTTTCATTAAAGAACATATAAATGAGCCACATTTTGGCGCAAAAAGTATTACATTACAAAGTTTTCTCAGGTAAGCATACTTTTACATTATAATACACACACGCATATACTATACAGCAATATAAGGGAATACGTATTTGACTTGTATTCCAATTTCTCAACAACACCAAATACAGTTATGCGATCCTAGACCACGTATGTATTATAACATAGGACAACAATATTGTAACGATGTTCAAAATCCATTATGAAGAGAATTATATCATATAATTTTCTTCAAATACTAGCACCGTATTTCCCACCGTACACCAAATATGTCAATCAGCCGTGCAAAGTTTGGGACTGTTAAACATCGGCAATAATTGTCGAACATTTACATGTAACTGCACGCTGAGCACGTTAAAAATATCGTGGATCGGGCTAAACAACACAGGTCTGCAAGGTTCGGTTGATTAAGAGTGAAGAGTCATTTACAACGTATTTTTTTACGCTGAATCCAAATCCGATCTCAGAATTTTCTCATCACGTCAGAATTTTGAGATATTTAAATGTATCAAAAATGGCATTTTTAGCAAAGTTCGTTCACTTATTCAAAACAAATTAAAAGAAAGGGCGTTTTAGAGCCAAAACACTGGTTTATGAGTGCTATTATATAAAATAAAAATCTAATTACACAATTAAAAGTATAATTAACAGGTCGAAACGTATAAATTTGGAAAAGTTAATTATACTTTTAATTGTATAATTGAATTTTTATTTTGTATGAAAGCACTCATAAACCAGTACTTTGGCTCCAAAACGCCCTTTATTTTAATTTGATTATATCTAAGAACCAATAATAATTTATATTAATATCGTTTACTTATTGTAGCGATCCAGAATTTTTTTTCAAAAATTTGATAACAGCGTCGAAAAATATGAGTCTTTACATATAAAATGCAATTTAGAGCGCTCCGATATGATTTTTTTCGCCAATATATTGCAAATTGAATTTTAAACTTTTCACAGCCAATGGTACATACGTTGTAAATAAAAAATGGCGAATTAAAATACAAAAGAGCGACACTAGCTAATTAAGACGAGATCGGGAATTTTTCGTCCAGTCAAGGTAAGATTAGAAGCTTAGCTGGCTAATAAAAACGAGATCGGAAATGTTAGTGATTTGTGGGACAACGTATGTACCATTCATGAAAGGGTTGAAATTCAATTTGCAATATATTGGCGAAAAAAATATTAGAGCGTTCCAAATTACATTTTGTAGATAAAAGTCCATACTTTTTGATGCTGTCATCAGAAATTTTTTTGAGAAAAAAATTTCAGATCGCTATAATAAATGATAAAAATTTGATCAAGAACACTATTTTTGACACTTTTAACCTCAAATATCTCAAAATCATGACACACAAACACATACCAGGTGTAGAAGTATGAAACCGGAATTCCCCTATAAATGGTGCCAGCGTTCAGTTTAGTGACCGTAAGACCGCTACTGCCGCGCTATTATATTCTCCTAACAGCTGACGAATATTGTCAACAAACATAACCCCAACTTTCATTCTCTAGTATATTTTTGTATAACCTTAAACATGTCACGTTTCGAGCCTACTAACTATGATTTGCGGACAGCATTGATTTTCTGTTATCATTTAAAGAAAACTGCTGCAGAATCACATCGAATGCTTGTCGAAGCTTACGGTGAATATGCTCTTGGTAAATCTCAGTGTTTCGAGTGGTTTAAAAAATTCAAAAGTGGTGATTTTGACGTGAGGAACGAAGAACTATGAACTATGAACTATGAACTATGAACTGCTGAAACCTGGTCAAACCGTCAATACTAATCGCTACCAACAACAAATGATCGATTTAAATCGAACATTGACTAAAAAACGACCAGAATATGCAAAAAGGCAACACAATGTCATTTTGCTCCATGATAATGCCCCATCACATACAGCAAAACGGGTCAAGGAAACGATCGAGTCGTTCAGTTGGGAATTACTACCGCATGCGGCTTATTCTCCAGACTTGGCTCCGTCCGATTATCACCTGTTCGCATCGCTAGGACACGCTCTCGCTAACCAACGCTTCGATTCGTATGAAAATGTGGAAAAATGGCTAGATAACTGGTTCGCTTCAAAAGATGAAAAGTTTTTTTGGCACGGCATTCATAAACTGCCAGAGAGGTGGGAAAAATGTGTTCAAAACAGTGGAAATTATTTTGAATAAAGTATTATTTATCACTTTCGAACAACAGACGTCTTATTTGTATAAAAAAATTCCGGTTTCATACTTCTACACCAGGTACACACACACAAAAATGATAGAGCAATTTTACAAACGTATTTGAATTTAGTGCCAAAAATTATGTAGGGAAACACTGTCAGATTTCAAACAACACTCAATATTCCTAATTTTACAGGCTGTAATCGATACTACTATCGTAATTGAGTAGTGAAAAATATTAATGGTGTATCTACGCTCTCTAAAGTAACTATAACTTAAATCAAGCATATATTTAGGCATTTATGAGCTTAACGTAGGTACTGGAGCGAATATTTAAATCAAATGTTGAAGATAATAACGTTTGACAGTGTTAATGCACGCGTCGGATAGATTTTCCAATTTTTAAAATGTACACAATTAATCAAAATTTCACATTAAACCTTGAATTCCAATTTTTAACATTAATATAATTAATTGATAATATAATTAACAATCTTTACAAAAGAAAAAAAATGCCGAGTACGTATTAAAGCCAAAACTACAAAACGAAAAGTACATATTAACTTAATCAAAGTAAAGAATGTTTTAAGTTAATCATAATAAAAAAAAAGAAATAAGATCAATATAATAAACTAAGTACGTATATAACCCAGATAGCACGATGAATTCTTTAAGTGTTCCTAAAGTTTTCTCCTTTCCTGAATTGTACTTCCTTAAGAATTCGTGGAAGAATACTATAAGAATGATTTAGGAAGTTACATGCACCATGATTGGAGTTCCTCAGAACTTCTTAGAGTATTAATAAATTTTATTATTAATAAATTTTATTATTATTTTATTATTTTTAATTGTATCCACACGAAAGATCAGAAAACCTTGGCCGAGGGTGCAGCTCTTGTGTGTATCTGTAGATGTCCACTTTTAATGCCATATGAGATGAAAAACATCAGACTCGGCTGGGATCAAACTCGGGTCTTCCACTTGCCAGACAACCGCTCTTTCCACTGAGCTATTTAAGACTTCATGTTTGTAACATCTATATACCTAGTGAAAAATGATTCGTTGATTGACGTCAAAATGATATCAAATTGACGTCGGTTTGACGATTTCAACGTCTATTTATTTGATGTCATTTTGACGTCAAAATGACATCAAATTGACGTCGGTTTGACGATTTCAACGTCTATTTATTTGATGTCATTTTGACGTCAATCAACGAATCATTTTTCGCTGGATACTATATTGTTATAACTGTTATAACTGTTATACTGTTATATATACTGTTCTAACTGAGCTTCAAATGTATGTAAAGTAAAGCGCACTTTCAAATATATAATTCAAAATCCAAAAATAAATGGCTTTCAAATAATGCGATTGAGTTTGTTAGAACTATATATGAATTTTAGAAACATGAATACAAACTTAAGGATAAAATATACTTGGCATAAACATATTTATTATTGATACAGGTGAAAATTTTATATATCAAAAGTTATTTTAACACCAATTCCCTCTCTTTGCCCTATTATATAAAACTATATAATTAATTCCACAAAATATAAATAGCTGCGAATAACAATAAATTAAACAATTTATATGTAAATATGTAAATTAATTATTATACACTCACTGGCATGTACTGAATATAG